GTGGTGGTGGTGGTGGTAGTAGTAGTAGTAGTTGTAGCAGTAGTAGTTGGTAGTAGTTGGTAGTAGTTGGAGTAGTAGTAGTAGTAGTAGTTGGAGTAGTAGTAGTAGTAGTAGTAGTAGTAGTAGTAGTAGTAGTAGTAGTAGTCGTATTAGTAGTGGTAGTAGTAGTAGTAGCAGTAGCAGTAGTAGTAGTAGTAGTAGTAGTAGTAGTAGTAGTAGTAGTAGTAGTAGTAGTAGTAGTAGTAGTAGTAGTGCTATTACCAGTAGTATGAGAAACCAGGCTGCGTAACCATAGCTTCCATGTGTTGTTGGGGACCGCGATGTTGGAACGACTGTTTTCCATCGTCATGTGTAGGGCCCCCCCTGGGGTCGAAACCCAGGGGGGGAGGAGGCAAAATGTCCCCCCCCCTCGGTTCAAACCAGGCGGGCGTGAGGTAAAACCCCTTCTGGGGTTCAAGCCCTGAGGGGGGGTGGCGATGACGACGGCGTCGTGCTCGGTGTCGTCGTCGTCGCCGGCGCCGGTTTCGGCGTCGGCATCGTGCTCGGCGTCGTCGTCGACGTCGTTGTCGGCGACGGAGTCGGCGTCGGCGCCAGCGCCGGCGTCGGCGTCGGTGTCGGAGTCGGCGCCAGGCGTCGTCGTCGTCGTCGTCGTCGTCGTCGTCGTCGTCGTCGTCGTCATTGGCGTCGGCGCCAGCGTTGGCGCCGGCGTCGTCGACGTCGTTGTCGGCGTCGGCGTCGGCGTCGGCGTCAGCGTCGGCGTCAGCGTCGGTGTCGGAGTCGGCTTCAGGCGTCGTCGTCGTCGGCGTCGTCGTCGTCGGCATCGGCGTCGGCGTCGGCGTCGGCGTCGTCGTCGTTGTCGTCGCGTGCGTTGGCGTCGTCGTCGTTGTCGGCGTCGGCGTCGGTGTCGGCATCAGCGCCAGCGTCGGCGTCGGCGGCGTCGGCGCTGGCGTCGTGCTCGGCGTCGTACTCGACGTGGTCGACGTCGGCGTCGGCGTCATCGGCATCGTGCTCGGCGTCGTGCTCGGCGTCGTCGCCTTCGTCGGCGCCGTTGTCGGCCTTCCCTCCAGCGTCGACCTCGGCGTCGATGCCGGCGTCGGCGTCGTTGTCGACATCGGCGCTGTCGGCGTCTTCGGCGGCGATCGGCGTCGGCGGCCTTGGCGTCATCGACGTTCTCGTCGTCGTCGTCGTCGTCGTGGATGGCGTCGGCGTCGGCGCCGGCGGTCTCGGCGTCATCGACGTTGTCGTCGTCGTCGTTGTCGTCGTGGATGGCGTCGGCGTCGGCGTCGGCGTCGTCGTTGTGCTCGGCGTCGTGCTCGGCGTCGTGCTCTTTGTCGGCGTCTCCGTCGTCGTCGTCGGCGTCGGCTTTGGCGTTGGCGTCGGCGTCGACGTCGGCATCGTGTTCGGCGTCGTGCGCGGCGTCGTGCTCGGCGTTCACGGGGTCGCGAACACCGTGCCGATGTGATTTGTTCAGGGCGGAAATCGACGTGCGTTCGTGAACCCGCCTTTTTCTCTCGCCAAGAATCTTCTCGATGTCCAAACGTAGTGCACGGCTCTCTGGTTGTCTAGAGCTGCGGTGCCGACACGAGGTACGAAACCAATTGTTTTTTGGACCGTGTGGTCCAGCGACGGTGAAAGCGACGCCTCTTTGGCTGCACGGAATAGGTGCCCGCTAGTTCCAGTCCAAATGCTTGAAACATCGATGGGACGTTCGGCAGCATGCCAAGAGCTAGCTAGCTACTCCAACTGTGTTTTGCTGACCCGCAGCGGGCGACAGGGCTGGTTGAAGCATGTGACTCCCCCCAAAGCTTGACGGTTAGTCGCAGGAGGTGATTGGGCGGCGTTTCGATTGGCACATGGCGTGGTAGTAGTTCTGGCATCGTATTTCTTCCTTTCAGACTGCATGCCCTCTGCCCCCAAGGAGGAGATTGCGGACGAGAACGTGGAACAGCAGCTCTCTGCGGCGTCACTTCGTCTGAAGAAGGTCACGCAGCTCAGGAACATGTGCAAGCTGAGGGACCTGAAGGCCGGTTCGGATGGTTGCCGCAGGTAGCAACAGTGCCGTTCAGAAGACATGGAATGGTGTCGGCGTCGGTGCGCTATCTCATACCGGCTCATGACAGCCTTGAGGAGCTGGCAGCGGCCGTGTGTTCGGCCAGCAGTATTTTGGCAGAGCCCGAACAATTACCTCTTGGGACCTTCTTATTACGCTAATGGGGCGCTCTTGGGAGTCGTCGATCCCCAAACCCAGCTTTAGCGCAGCCCCAGCTCCATCTGAGCTGCAACCCTACTCCAGCTTAGATGTTCGCTTCAGCTCTTGCTCCAGCTCCAGCATCAGCCAAGCAGCTCCAGTCCAGGTCCAGCTTTAGTTCCAGGCTGGAGCTGAAGCTGAAGCTGAAGCTGAGCTGGGGCTGGAACTTCAGCCCCAGTTCTTTGAGGTCGAGCTCCAGCAGAACTCCAGCTCCAGTTTCATTTTCAGCACCAGCCCTATCTCCACTCCAGCCCTACCCAGGTTCGTTGCCAGCCCAGCTCGGCTCCAGCGTCATCTCCAGCCCATAGCCAGCTCCAGACCAAGCTCGAGCCAGAGCTCAAGCACATATTCAGATCCACCTCAAGCGCCATCTCCAGCCTTGTGTCCTCTTGATTGTCCGCCCTGGTTCTTCCTGGTGTGCGCATTACCATACTACTGGTTTCAGTTTGCTTATCTCAGAGCTCGCATCTGATAATATCCCATTTATGTTGAACTGACCGAATTATACACCAGAGTGTGCATATCCCAGCTTTTATGTTCCAATTCAAAGCGTTACACACCAACGCCTACGAACGCGCACACACACAGACACACAGACACGCACACAGACAGCCACACAGACCCACACACGCAAGCACTCACAGGCACACAGACAATGCGCAGAACACCGCGTGTTCATTCGCATGCCTTTTCCATTCACGATTCTATACACTGGCCTACTGACGGGGCAACATCGGGAGGCCCAGGACTGGGATCATCAACAGCTCCAGAGCGTTTTCGAACGCTCGCAGATCGTTCCCGAGCGCTCTGGAACGGCCGCGGTGCCCGATGCATCCTCGAGGACGGTGATGATGATGATGATGATGAGGAGGAGGAGGAGGAGGAGGAGGAGGAGGAGGAGGAGGAGGATGAGATCGCGCGGTTCTGGACCCAGAACCGTGAGATCTCAGGGGTTCCCGATTTGTCCCGGTTCAATGTTGCCCTGGTCTTGGCTTCGTCTTGCTACTCACGGGCAGTATACGCCGGTCGTTGAAAGTAGGAAATTTGCCTTAGGCGCCTTCCTGCTTGAAGGGTCCACAGGTTTCCTTCCTCCGCTCCTCTTCAGGGGGCGGGCGAAGCAACGCCTTCCCACTTCATGCTTCTAACCTCTTCTTCCGACCGGCGTGTATACACTCACCGCCCACCAAACCACCCCAACCCAACCCGAAGGAAGGCCCCGATTTGCCCTCCATTTCCGGGGGGGGGGGGAATCGGGGAACCGTGGACAAAACCACATCTGAAACCCGTACCCCCCCACCCAACCCGAAGTTCGGCTTTTTGGGTTGGGTTGGGGTGGCCTGGCAGGGGTAGTCACACACACACACACACACCTTCTCCCAGTCGGAAACTGGACAATCCCAGGACTGTTTGATCCCAGAACTTTTTGAGGGACTTGTCAAGACCAGTGGCGGGCTGCTTTTCCATCCCAGGACTTTTTGAGGGTCGGGGACGACGTCGGGGTGGTGTGGTGTACACTTTTCCCCCGTTTTTCTGGGACACGACGAAAAATGTACACACCAGGGTCCCGTATACACCTGGATCCTCTCTCCTGTGCGAGTTTCAGTGCGGGGCCGGAAAACAGCTTCGCTGTATAGAGTTCGGATCCTTACCCAGCTCCCACATCCAGAATCCTGCCCCAGGGTCCTCAGGAGCAGCCTGGAGGCGCTCGCCCCCTATAGAGACGAGCGCGCCCCACGCGCTCCAAGCGGCGACGGGGGGGGGCGGGGCTTCTCCTTGGCATCGCTCGCACGTGTGCATTTTCTCTCGGCGAGAACCATCGAGGACCATCCTGGACCATCGAGCAAACAAAAAACACGCACGACACCGAAAAACGCACGGGAAATGGACGTCCGAGCGACGGCAAGTTCTCGGGTCTCCCCCCCCACCGCCTCGGCGCCCCCGGCGCGCTGCCGCCTGGCATCCAGAGCTCGCCGATCTCCTGGGTGGCGGGCCTGCTTCCCAGATGTTCGACGTCGAGCTCTTGTTCGCACCGTGGCTCCCCAGAGTCGGGGGAGCGTACGACCAGGGTTTGCCAGGACTCGGGTTCGCCATCGTTTTTTTACGACCGCGACTCGGATTTTGACGAGGAGGAGTTTCTTGGGATGTCTGCAGCGGGAGGCCTCGTCAAAATGCAGGCTCGGCCTCGTCATTTTGTGACGACCTCGTCGGGAATTTCCGAGTCCCCTGTACCCAGGCCTTACGCCCCCCTGACAGAGGTCCAGACCGCCCCGTCCCGGGGGGCCGATCTTCCGTCCCGAGTCCTTCTCTTAAGACGGCCCCAGCGGCAAGGGCCCCTTGAGGCAGGGAGTGGCCCCCCAAACATCAGGAGGGAAGAAGACACAGACACAATTCATCGTCGATCCCCAAGAAGATATATAGGAACATATGGGAATTGGGCGGGAAGACAAAAACCCAGAAAATATGGGAAAATATGGGGAACATGTTTATTTGTGTGTATTTATTTGTGTGTCTCAGGGCCCCTTCAAAACAGCCCCTCGCGGCGCGAGGGTGTCCGGGCCGTGCTGCGCCAGTGTTCCGGGAGGTGACTTGACCGTGCTCTGGAGAGGCTGCAGCACCGTCCAACGGTGTACTGTCCACCAAGCCTGCAGGGTGGTCGGGGGCCACATGCGAACCCTACCCCCACCTCCCACGATTTCTGAGGGGAGGGTGGGGTTCACTTCGCTCTGGAGCTCCCTAACGAAATGAACCCCACCCTTCCCCTCAGAAATCGTGGGGGGTAGGGGTAGGGTTCGCATGTGGCCCCCTAGGTGGACTCTTCGCATGCCTCTGGGCACCTCGGGAGGCAGTTTTTGCATCTCCTGGCGGTGCCGGGCGCGACCTTTGGGGGGTCGGGGAGGGCGGCGGTCACGTCACGATTCAGCGCCAGCGCCGCCCAAGAATGTTTTTCAAGAATGGCTCATGCCCAGACGGCACCAGCGCGAATCGTCGCGTGGCCAGGGGGGGTCGGCCACGCGCAGAGGGGGTCAGGGGGAGGGGGCAGGCTTCTCAGCAGCAGCCCTGCTTCTTGGAAGGCGTGGGCCTTGTCAATGGATGTGAGGCCGGCGCCTTCTAAGAAGCAGCCATCTGCTAAGAAGAATTCCCCCCTTCCCCTAACCCTCTCTGCGGGGCTGGCCACGGCCGAGGCGACGTGTGTCGCTCACGTGGGGAGCCTCCCTCCCGCAGGCGACTGGCAAGAAGCAGGAGCTTGTGAACCGGCTGCTGAGCGCCTGAGCGCTCAGGGCCTTCCCTTCAGTCGGGCAGGTCCCCCTGCAGGCGGAACAGTCAAAGATTGTCGACAAAGTAGCTTGGGGACTTTTTTGTTTCGACCGTTTCTGGTTATTTTAAACCTTTTGTGGGTTCTTTTTCACAGGGCTGGACCTAAGCACTGATTTGCTGGACTTCGGTTGTGTTGTGGGTTTTCGTTATTGCAGGGAGGTACAGGAAGACAGGTAGAGCAAGGCGAACAACAAGACGAACGCACGACGAAACACAGCGTTTACGTCCAGCCCTGCTCCTTGTGGGTGTATCCCAAGAAGTCCGCCTGCAGGGGGACGTGCCCGACCTACGCCTTCCCCTGGGGGGGCCCCCGCGGGCGCGCGGCGCCTTGCTGGGTGCGCACCCCCAGCGGGGATTGGCCGTGCCTCCCTGCGCCGCACACCGCGTTTGGAGATGGTCGTTCTTGCTGGACCCTTCCTGGGGCCCACGCCGCTTCGGGAGGGGAAAAAGCGCACACGGACACGGCTCGTCGTCGGCTCCCAGGACCACGCGGGAAGCTGCGGGGAGCGGGGGGAGGGCGAACACCCAGAGACTCCGGGGAACCAGACGGGGCATCCTGGGACTCGCGGCTGCTCGCTCGTGCGTGTCCCTGGGCCCCGCTGCTGCGGCGCCCCGCCCTGGCCGCCCCGGCCGCCCCCCTGCCGCTTGCCGCCGTGGCCTCGGACGGCAGCCCCCGGCCTCGGCGCCACGTGCTTGAGCACCCGTCTTCGCCGGGGCGCTCGTCGGTTCCTGCGCGTGCAGCCGCCGGGGAGGCCCCCGGGTGTCTCCTGGGACGGGGGCACCGGGAGGCGGCGGAGTCGGGGGCAGCGGTGGGGGGGGGATAAAGGCACAGGGGGGGATGCCTCGACCCCCAATCGCCCACCGATCTCCGAGGGGGGCCCGCTACCCCACGCCACCCAGGAAGGTGCGGATGCGCTGTCGGGGTTCTGTCGCCGATCAATCGGCGATGTATCGCCGATGCCAGGTCGATTCATCCGCCCCCCAATGCTTATCACCCCTTCTCGCTGCCCCTCACGGAGAGGAACACCTGTGTTATCTGGCTGCCTGTGGCGAGTCCCGCTGCGGTGCCAGCCCAGCATTTTGGGTGGCGCTTGTTCGAGGGGGCGCGGGAGGCCGTCACGTGCGACTCCTCGTGTCGCCAGGGTTGGGGGACCCGGGAGGATGGTTATGATGTTGGTGATGACGATGATGACGATGATGCTGATGATGGTGTTGGTGATGATGATGATGATGATGAGGAGGAGGAGGAGGACGATGACGATGATGATCGTGATCATGATTTTGATTATGATGATGATGATGATTCTGATGATGATGATGATGATGATGATGATGATGATGAGGATGAGGATGAGGATGATGATGATGATGATGATGATGATGATGATGATGATGATGATGATGATGATCATGTGCGTGATCATGATGGTGGCGGATGTGATTGTGGTGATGATGATGTTGGTGATGATGATGCTGCTGATGATGATGGAGGTTGTGGTGGTGTCCATGATACTGTTGATGATGAACATGATGAACTTGATGATGACAATGGTGATGACGTTTGTAATGCTGACGATTGTGATGCTGTGGACGCGGATGTTGTTGTTGCTGCTGATGGTGATGCGGGTGGTGGTGATGGCGTGCAACGGTGGTTATGTTGTTGACGATGATGTTGGTGACGACGATGCTTATGCTGACGATGATGCTGATGATGCTGATGATGATGCTGCTAATGATGATGACGCTGATACTGATGCTGCTGCTGATGATGCTGCTGATAGTGGTGGTGATGGTCATGGTGGTGTGATGATGAGTATGGTTCTGATTGTGGTGGCGGTGACGAGGAAGATGATGCTGATTGTGATGATGACGATGATTCCGATGATTATGACGAGGAGACTGAAGGAGGAGGGATGTCGTCACACGTGACACCTTCAGTCCTTAGTTGGCAAGCCCTTTTGGACCTCTTGGGCACTCTTGTGGCTGTCTTGGCCTCCTGTGAGGTAGCCATGGGCCCCTAAGGGCCCTCTTGGGCGGTTTTGGGCACCCTACGGCCCTTGTTGGGGCCGTCTTGGAGCCCTCTTGGGCCTTCTTCGGACCTTCTTGGGGGCCTCTTCGGCCGAATTGGGGTTTTCTTGGGGGCCTCTTGGAACGTCGGATGCTCGAAAAGGCGGGACCCCCCAAAGAGCGGAAAACTATAGGAAAATCACTGGTCGTTGCATCCCGAGGCCCTTGAGGATGCTCTTCGGGGACCTTCCTGGGACTTCTCGGAGGCGTCTCGGCCTGTCTTGGGCCTATTTGGGGGCCGTCTTGAGGTCACAATGGGCCGCCTTGGAGCCGCTTTAGGCCGTCTTCGAGGCGCGCTGGCCTTGGGAGCAAGAGCGTTTTTTGGCTTCTTGCTGGGGGCCTGGGCCTCGGGTGTGCGCCTCTGCTGCAGTCTGCGAGGGGTTCTGGCCTCGGGGAGGGGGGGACCGGGTGCATGCAACCCAGTGCTATTAGAGTTGTGGAAGTCAGTTCTCGGGAGACTCTCCATGGGGGGGGATTCCATGGGGGGGCAGGAGGGGATCCCCCCCATGGGATCCCCTCCTGCCCCCCCATGGGATCCCCAGGGGATCCTGTGGGATCCCCCCCCTGGGATCCTATCCCCCCATGGGATCCCCCCCCATGAAGAGTCTCCCGGAGTTCATGGAGAGGAAGCATGCTGCCAGCTAATTCCCAGATGTCTAAAACATGTTTCAAACCTTTCTTTAAGTATGTAAAACACATGGTTGAACCAAGTTAGAACATGTTTTACACATCTTAAAAACATGCTTACTTCAATGATCGGATTGTCAGAGTGTCCACTGTCAGGGCATCCACAGTAGTAGAGCGGGCCGTAGAAGATTACAAAAGCCCAACAAGACAGCAATTGGCATGCTAGCACGCTCCAGCGTGCAAAGGGGCACGGTGGCGGACATGCTCGTTTTGCGTCTTTCTGGCGCCCATTTGACGGATTTGTTCGACTCTCGTTCAGCTCTAGTTCGACTGTCGCTCGACCCAAGGTCGGCCCATGGTCGACTCAAGTTCGAGTCAAGCCGACGGACGCTCGACACAGCATCGACGCATGAGTGGAGCGAGTGGTTCCAAGAAGGTCCCTATATACGAACACCTAACCGCGGGGGGGACAGTACTGCCCCCCCCCCGCCCCCGGTGAGCGCCAACAGCACGCCTTCGCCTGTCGTGGCCGCGCCAACCCTGGGCCCGACATCTTCCTCGCCTCGCGCAACAACCACGACGACAAGCAGTCTGCCTCCAGGGACACTCGCGGGCCCCTGGGGCCGTCAAGACACGGCTCGGGATGAAAGGGCGGTCCCTGGGAAGGGGCCCAGACCTTTAGAGCGCCACGGCGTGAGAGAGCACGACGGCGGATGGCTGGGTGCCCTCCTGGCCGTGGCCGGCAGCGCGCGCGCGCGCCAATCGCGTGGTTCCACCAAGGGGGACCTGTGGCCAGGATCCGTGCGGGCGTGTCGTTTGGGCGCCGTCCTGCTCGTCCCTCTCCCTCCTAGGATGCAGCTCCCGGGAGGTTCAGTTCTGTACCGGCGCTGCTATCTTCGCGGTTGATGATCGTTTCATCCCCGCCCAATCCAGCCTGATCAAGCTTCATCTTGCTCAATCCTGGGCTTAATCTGGCTAAGTTCGGTACCTTGTCTCGGGCTTCATCGCCCTCGATCGCTTCAAAGCAGACCTCCCAGGAGTTGCCTCCCGCTCCCTCTCCTGGCAGGGTGATGTTTTGATATCCTGTGTCACTTCCTGCAAGTAGTGTGTTGGCGGCGCGCACGTGGGGGTGGCACGAGGGGGGTAGCGCCTTCTGAACAGGCAGGTGGCGCCTCATCAAGCCCCCTCGGCCTGTGTGATTCCCCGGAAGTTTCCGCGGGCCCGTCGGACACGGCACCCGCCTGCGGACAAGCCCTCCAGCCTTCTCACCCAGATCCCCGAAGACCCGATCTTGTTCGCAGCCTCGACCCCCAGAGGTCCAGAGTCCCTTCCCCAGAGCGGTGTTCCATCCCGCGTCGTTTTCTGACGGTCGGACCACATCCAAGAGAGCATTTCGAGCGCCCAGCAAAAAGTATCGAAACAGTGTCGAGCGAGTATCGCCTCCCAGGGCTTGACACGTGAAAGCCCTCCAGGGTCAGTTCTTTCCTGGTGCCCGAAACTCTCTTGGGCGATCGAGGCTGAAGTAGGCCGGATCATCATAGCCGTCATAGTCTCGCCGCGCAACGAGAGGATCGGGCCGAACGAAAGGGGGGGATAGGGAAAGGGGGGGTTACGAAATCTGCTGCATGCAGCAGATTTCGGCCCCGCCGCCGGGCCCATTCCTCGACACATGGGCGCCTCCCGGCGCCGGGAGGCGCCGGGAAACTCAGCTGCGTGAGCCAATTCTCACCCCCCCCCCTTTGCTATCCCCCCCTTTCGCCCGACCCGAGAGGAGACGACTCGGGGGTCGAAGGCCGCCCCCCCCCCGCGCCACCCTGCCACTGCGTGCCGCCAGGCGTAGAGGGGCCAGCCCCGCCGCTGCGGGGGCCGAGGCTCGCTGGCCCTGCGTGCGCGGCGGCGCGCCGCCCACCCCGGCCTCCCGCCTCGGGACCTGGGTCGAGGCGGGCATGTCCCTCTGCAGGAGAGGACAGTTCAGAAGCAGTGGAAAATGGTGCGGGGACGTTTTCCCCAGTATTGCAGATCTTTTTGCTGTTTTCAGAGTTGTTCTCCAAACTCCGCCTGTAGGAGGACATGCCCGACCGAAGACTTGGGCTCTTCAGGGAATCTAGGCCTCCTAGATGGCGTCGGAGTAGATGGGGTCAGAGGATCGCGCCGCATCGCCGATGCATCGCCGATACGGCTCGATGTGGAGCCCATTTGCTTCACGTCGGTCGCCGATGCACCACCAACATCGAAGATGCGTCGCTCGTGCATCGCTGATGCATCGCCGATGCATCGGTCATCTGGCGCGATCCTCGGACCCCATCTACTCGGACCCCATCTAGGAGGCCTCTACTCCCGCCCCGGACTCGGGGTCTTCAGGGAAGGGGGGATGCTCGTCACGATCGCCGGCTAGAGAGAGAGAGAGATACGGTGAAGGCGCCGAGGTAGGAAGCATGTCGGGCTCGGGAGGGACTGGCTGTCCCCCGGGTCCGGATGCAAACTCTTGGGAGGTCACATTCCGCAGCGGCGCTGGCATGCCCCCGCCTGCCGATCGTGGCCAGGCCGCCCTTCCCTCGAGCACGGGCGCCTCTCGTTCCCCTCCCCCCCTCGCGAGGCGCCCCGCTCGGAGCGTCGGCTCCTGCCGAGCCCTGGGCGGCGAGCGCCAGCGGTTCCAGAAACGGCGGCGGCGGCGGCTGCACTCTCGGCGGCGCGCCCGCGCGCGGCGGCCTGCCTCCCGGGGGGCAGCGCGCCTGTGGACACGCTGGGTGCTGCGACGTTCACGGGCACTTTCGGGGTGGACACGTCTGTGGACAACGTTCAGGAGGGGAGAAAACACACAGAGACACACTCCATCGTTCACTCCCAGGAAATTACAGGAAAACAAGGGAAGTGGGGGGGAAGACAAAAACTCAAAAATATGGGAACATGTTGGGAATACTTTTATTAGTGTGTATCTATTCGTGTGTCCCAGGGCCCCTTCAGATACGTCTGTGGACAACGTGGCAGTTGTGCGTTCGGCGGGGTGCAAGGTCGGAGAAGGTGCACGGTATAGCTCGCGCCGTCTCGACCGGCGGCGACCCCGCCGCCCGCGTTCCGCGTTGATCGCCGCCGGCGACCCAGAAGCCGACGAGGTGGAACGATCTGACACTCCGGTTCACGGCCGATCGTTCAAGGCTGAACGATCCCCCCGGTGTCGGGAGCCAACGCCCGAAGTCGGCACGACACGAACCTGCCGTAGATCCGTCTACGGTCTGTTCCTGTTCTAGAGCAAGCACAGTGATCCCGCACGGTAAGGAAGAGCGAATTCCCAAGGGTACCCTTGCATCCTTGCCCCCTCGGTCCATCCTTCGCCACGTTCATTGGCCGCGCCCCGCTCGAAGAGCTTCGAGTTGGGCGTCCAAGGCCCATGCATCCTTATCCCTGGCATCGCTCGGACATGTGTATTTTTTTCTTGGCGAGGACCCTTGAGGACCCATCCTGGACCATCGAGCAAAAAAAAAACACGTACGACACCGAACAATGCACGGCAAATGGACGTCCGAGCGAGGGCAAGTATCGCGCATCCTTACTGCACGGGTTGGCTGTACCGCATGGTGCTCTAGTGCCGATGCCGCTGCCCGCTCCAGAGAGAGCCCTCTCGCCGCCAAGGCCGGACCTTCGAAGAGTTCTCGTCAGAACGCACCCCGTCAAGCAGTGGCGAAGCATCCTGGCTCGCCTATAGCCCCACCGAACAATGTTCTAAGAACCTTTTATGGTTCCGACGAAATGTTCTTAGAACATTTCTGGCTGGGACTGTCTTGTTTTAAAACATCCGGGTTATGTTCTAAGAACATTGTTTTTGTTCTTCGATCATTTTTGGGTTCTGAGAAAAATTCGTGGTATGACTATAGGAGTGCCGGGACGGTCGGTGCCTGCTCAAATATGGGAACCCATCAGTTGTTGAAAGTATGTCTTTTTTCGGGGGTGGGCAGACCTCCTACCCTGACACGTCGATGAGCGAGTTGGCCGTTTTCGGTTCGCGGGAGGGCGTCGCGGCCGTCATTTTTGCGGGTCCAGGTTTGTCGGTTTCGGTCCCAGGCCGTTTCCACTAAAGGGTGGTTTACTAAAGGGAGGTCTGTCCACCGCCGATTTTTGGATCCCCGGATTCCAATGCACTTCAAGCGCCTTCCTATTTCAATCGTCGAGCGGCTTAACCTTTCCCGTCCTCCATGGGGGGCGGACGGCACCCAATCTACTTCCAACGCCTTCCTACTTCACGCTTCTACCTTTAAGTCGGGCCTGTCCCTCTACAGGGGGAATATTCAAAAATAGTCAAATTACTCCGACGGTAGGACCCCACATGAGAATCTGTTTAGATTACCCTTTGCCCTTTCCTCCTCCCCCTGGCGGACACCCTCTCCTCTCGCCCCCTGCACTGCCCTCTCCTCTCGCCCCCTGCATTTCTCTTCCTCCTCCTCTTTCTCCTCCTCCTCCTCCTCCTCCTCCTCCTCCTCCTCCTCCTCCTCCTCCTCCTCCTCCTCCTCTCGCGCCACCTCCTCCTCGTCGTCGGCCTCCCCCATGCCCCTTCCCTCCTCATCCCCCTGCCTTTTCTCCATGTGCACCTCCCCTTCCCCCTCGTCGGGGCAAGCAAATCCATTTTCCTCAGCGCCGTCGCCGCCTCGGCCAGCGCGCGCGCGTCTGCCGACGGCTAGATCGCGAAGCCGTCGGGACAAACCTTCGGGCCGGGCCGTTGAGACAACCTCGCAGGCCGCTGGGGCGTGGGAGCTAGCCGTTGGGACAACCCCGCGGGCCTCCAGGCGCGCGCCGCGGCGCTCAGGCGGGAGGCAGCATGAAACCCAGCTCTGCCGCGAGCTGCTCCGTTTCAGCCCTGGAGTCCACCGCTTTCTTGTCGAACTCCTCGAGCGCCTTCCGCAGGGACGCCGGCGGCCCGCGTTCCAGGAACTTTCGCGCGGGCGGCCGCATGATCAGCATGTTCCGCATGCACGTGGCGCGGGAGAACATGACGTAGAGGTGCAGCCACCACATATCGTCCGACATGCCCGTGCGGCCAGCGTCCTCATCCCTGGCGCAGTCGATGGTGACGCCCTTGCGCAGCGTCTGGCCCTGCGACAACGTGGAGGTCAGGTAGGACGCGTGCGTCAGTGTGAATCCCGAGCGGCGCACAGTGTGCGCCCCCGAGCTTTGCCACGTGAGCTCCTGCTCGCTGGGCCTGAACATGAGCAAGCTCCTCGCCCGCGCTTCGGCCTCGCCGTCGTCGGCAGCGCCATCGGCGCCCTGCTGCAGCACCTCGGCGACCTCCTTGTAGATCGGGGACTCCTGGAAGCCGTGCACCTGCAGCCAGATTCCCTGCGGTAGGTGGCGGGGGCGGAAGAGCTGGCCCGGCGCGCACTCCTCGTAGTTCCGCTCGTCGTCTGCGTGAAACTCGAAGGACACGATGGTGGCCCGTTGCTCCTGCACGAGCCCCAACTTCTTCTTCAGCTCCTCCTGCACGGCCGTGAACCGGACCTCCATGCCGACGTGTGCCGGTAAGACGCCGTGGATGTCCCCCGTCTTGTGCATGTTCGGGACGTTCAGGAGGCGCCGGCCTGCGTCTGGGTCGCCTTGAATCGTGCCGCTTTCGTCTACGGCCTGCAGGAAGACGAGGGGGACGCCGAGGCGCCGCGCGTCGCGACGAGCGCGCGTGTTGATCCACCTCGCCAGCGTCTCCAAGTAGATGCCCATGCCGTAGCCGAGCCGGAAATTCTCGTGCTGGTGCCGTGGGTCCAGGACGCCGTGGCTGCCAGAGGCCAACCTCTTATCCCAGGCAGACCAGACCTCTGGTGGGAAGCGCTTGCCCTCGCGCATGCAGCCCAAGAGCGCGATCGGAGGG